GTTTAGGAACTCTTTTAAGTGACTTAAAAAATAAAACCAAATCCCATTGCCATTGAGTTGATTCTGACTTATGACAACCCAATGTGTTACAGATAGAGCCGCTCCATATGGTTTACTTGGCTGTAATCTTTACAGAGGGAGCTCTGATAGCATAGTGCCTAAGGCACTTAACTACTAACCAGAAGGCAGTTCAAACCCACCAGCCATTCCTTGGAAGGAAGGTTGGGCAATCTACTTCCGTAGTGGTACCATTTCAGAAACCCAAGGAGGGGTCACTAAGAGTCAGGGCCGACTCAACAGCACATAACAACAACAAATCTTTACAGAAGCAGATTGCCAGGTCTCTCTTCTGCAATGCCCTAGGTGGGTTCAAACCATCAAACTTTAGGTTAGTTGTTGTTGTTATGTGCCGTTGAGTCAGACCTGACTCATAGTGACCCCTCCTTGGGTTTCCAAGGCGGTATCAGTATGAAAGTAGACTGCCCAACCTTCCTTCCGAGGAGTGGCTGGTGGGTTTGAACTGCCATCCTTCTGGTTAGCAGTCAAGTGCCTTAGGCACTATGCTACCAGAGCTCCCTTAGGTTAGCAGTTAAGGGCAAATTATTTGTACCACCCAGGAACTGGTCATTTGGTAGAGCTAGAATTTGAACTTGAGTTTTCTCTTATTACAGAGCCTGTACTGTTGTTTTTTTAAGAGCGAGATTTCCAGGTGTAAGCAAGCCTACCCTCCCCCTCTCCCTGTACATTGCCCCCCCACTTCCCTCCTAACAGCAGCTCCTCTTATCATTCATTGTTTATTGTGCCTTCTAAACAATAGGTAATGAGTCTGTATTACATAGTGGAGAGAGCCAGGGGTGACTTTATTACCTGAAACAGAGATGGGGCTGTGACACAAAAAGGTTAAGTGCCTATGGTGAGGTCACTGACCAGCTTGCAGTCAGTGAGAGCACAGTTCTGAATCATGACTGGGGTTCTTGAACTCACCCTCAGGCCTTGTGCCTATTGGCAGCCAAATTTAATTAAGAGTTATTTTAATTTTCCTTCCTATCTCCAATTTTCCATTTTATTGCTGCTTAATAATGGTACGTGTAGAAGCCCCAGGCATTTTTCTTCCCCATATGCTTTTTACTGACTAAACTTATCACATAGAAACTAACTTTAGACTTAAGCTTTCCAAGTCGTTTCTGTGTGTGACAGGGCTTGTTGCCTTTTCTCAGAGAAAGACGACCACAAAGACAACTCAGACAGGTTGTTAATTGAGGACTTTTTTTTTTTTTGAAATCTTACATTTATACCAGTAAATCGACATCTGTGAGTCATAAACTCATTCTTGATCAGCCGTTAGTGGTCTGAATGTTTTTGCACCTACCTTCAATAAAGCATATTTTAACCTCAAACTCAGATTCTTTGGTTTGGAGAAGTTGAGCATTTAGGAGTAGACAAATAACTTACTCTAAAGGAAGAAAATCTGTTTTTAATAATAGTTTTAAATCAGGTATATTTTTACATTAACTTTTTTTAAAATCAAGATTGGAATGGAGTTGAAGGAGGAGTGAAAATAATGAAGAAAATTTATGGCATTTACATACTTCATGTGTTTGAAGAAATTCCTGCATAAAGGTGACTATTTTCTTGATGTCATTAATGTATAGCATTCCCGCCTTCCCCACCACAACCCCTTATTGACCAAATGTTCCCAGTCTGAAGAGTCTTAGCACTTGGTTGGGTGTAATTAGGTAAAGTCTAAGGAAATGTTTAAAAATACAATTCTGTTTTCTCCCAAATACATATGGATGAGACTTCTGCCCTGTAAGTAAAAGCAAAGAAGGTTTCCTTGGTTGGTTTCTTCCTGAGTGCCTTAAAAATCAGATAGTCTTGAAACATCTTCCCTTAGCAGATGGAAGGCAAAGCTCAGCTGCTCTTGTTTTACTGGTGGGGAAACAGAGGCATGAGTGAAGCTGAGTGAACATAAAGGCTGGGGAATGGAGGCTGCTTTTCCAGGAGGGAGAAAGGGAGACCTGACAGACATTTCTGAGTTCATCTTCCACAGGCTGTAGAATAGCCAACTCATTTAACCTTTGAATCAGCTTTCTGAGCTGATAGTTCACCCATTCAATACCTATTTATTGAGTCTCTGTAAAGTATTGGCCACTGCGCTAGGCATTGTTTTCTAGGATAAAGTAAGAAAGCAATGCCATTTGAAATCCATAAGAACATTTAGAAAAAAATCACTTCTGTCCTAAAGAGAATGCAAATTTCATTTATCAAAATTGATGATATTGATAAAGTTTTATACTTAAAGGCCTGATTGAATTGTTAATATTCCAAACTATAAAAGCGTTTATGTTTCTCAGTCAGTCAATATAAACCCCATTTTTTAAAGTTGTTCAATTACCATACAGGAACTTACTCCAGTTTACTGAGATAGAAAGAGCAGTGGTGGTTCAGTGTCTGAATTCTAACCTCCCCTGTGAGAGACCTGCTGTGATTTTTAGCCAATGCCCTCAGTCTTTCTGTAGGGGGTGGGGTGGGGTAGGGTGGGGGGGTGGGTGGGGCTTGCGTGTTGCTACAATGCTCAATACGTTTCACCAGAGCATCCACACTAAGATAGGCTGGGAAGAAAGGCCTGATCTACTTCTGAAAGTAAGCCAGTGCAAAACCCTGTGGATCACAGTGGTCCAATCTACAATCAATCATGGGAATGCCACAGGACAAGGAGGCATTTTGTTCCATTTTATTGTTCTTTAACTTTCACATGAATTCCTTATCTCTACCAACATGATTCCTTCAAAGACATAATAGCTATCATATTTATCACCATCATCACATGACCTTCATCACTTATTATTACTGATGCTTCTTATCCAAAGAGCTGTTTCAACAGATCCAAGATTAGATGCATAAATTCTGGTAGCATAAATAGTCATAATTAGTATCATCTAGAAGTAATTTTCCTGAAGGTCTGTGGTGGCTCCTGACTATATCAACCCTCCTGTTTTACCCAATCTCATTCCTTAATTTGAGTATTTGTACATAAATCTCATTTTTAGAGTGGAAAATATTTATGGTTTAATCATGGTGGCCTCTCTTAGTGTTTAAGCTTGTTGGATGTTAGCAGCAGTGTTTAAAACTAACTGGGGGAAGAAAGCTGAAGAGAAGACTGGAGAGAGAGAAAGGAGTTACTCTGAGGAAGCTGCATTTGAAAATAGAAAAGTACTAGCACTTGGATTAAAAAAGTACCAACATTTTCTTAAAACAACATAAACGAAACAAAATTTCCCAAAATCAAAATTTCTTGATTTGCTCAATTCTTCTACTGAACTATTCATTGAATAAGGCAGGGCTGACTCAAGATCTTTTTTCTTTGCTGCTCATTTGGTTGTGCAAATGCACAATTCATTCATCATCTGCTTCCCCAAGATTTTCCCAGGATCAGAAATGCCTGTTCTTGTCATCTGGGGGCCAGCATTGTTTTCTTATACCTTTGGAAACACAGCTGGGTTGAAACTCTGTTTCCTCAAAAATCAGGGCTATCACATACAAATATTTTCCTCTGGTCACTGAAAGAGAGATGTAACTTGAAGGTTGAACCAGAAACTAGATATTTATTTTCTATTCCTGTCTCTTTCCCTGATTTGCTATGGGAAACCCACGAGTTAACAAATGCTTCAAGGAGACAAAACTGGGTTTTGATGAAGATAAGCAGGTGCACTAAAAGTCATCAGAGGCAGTATGGGGAGTTCAACATCAAAACAAGAAATCAGGCAACACTATTAAAATAGCTTTTTTCTGGGGTTGTTCAGGAAGGCTTGTTAGTCAATGATGGATCTCAATGCCTGGTGCTAGATATACTATATGTGTTCTATGTATGCACCTCTATATACTGGTTTATTAGAAGTGTCTGGAGTTCCCAGATGGAATGGGACTGTGCATTGTGATTCTGTATGGCTGCTACAAGTGATACTCAAAACCACAGAGCTTCTGCATCACTTTTTTGGTGGTGGCAGTGGGAGGAGAGTATATGAAGGGAAAGATGAAGCTTTGGTGATTGGTGGTATTATTAAATAACAGGATAATTTAAGAGAGAAATATGGGATGGACTAGACTGCAATCGGTTTTTCCACCCAACCCGTGCTGTTGGGTAAACTGGAAGTTTATGGAGGCACGTGACTGGGTTCTACTTCAGGGGCACCGTTCCTGACTCTCAACAATATTTGGTAATAGGGGCCTTTGTTTTGGCATCTCCAGAAGGCTGCATTGGGCTTGGAAGCTACTCAAAGCTTTTGCTCAGGAACGCCCCTCCTGTCATTTCTTAACTATTACCCGTTGGGCTCTGAAACCCCAGAAGACTCTTCAAGAAACCCAGTCCCTACTATTGACTCACTCACCGCCCGGAGTTCAGTCTTCCCAGATCCCTTTCAGGACACCGGCTCACCGACCCCCTGCGCCTCCCGCACGCACGTCCCGTGGTCCCCATGCATCACGTCCTGTGTGTCAGTCTTTGTGAATGAATGATGTACACGCACTGGGAAAACTATGCTGCCGGCGGGAGGGGCTGACAAAGCCCGAAAGAATGTGTGGAGAATCGGACAGACTTTCCCTGTTGCAGCCTAGGCCGTCTCTCAGCGCCACAGCCCAGCGCGCTCTAGGTCGTCCCCGCCCGACCGCGGGTCAGCAGTGGGCTGGGCCGCCGCGGGCTCCGCACCGCTGCCGGGCGGTGGCCGGGCGTGGGAGGCGGGGCTTGCCCGGCCTGCCTGTCATTGAGGTTGCTGGCGGCGATTGGTCGTGGGCCCAGTCCCTTCCCCGCTCCACCCGCTCCGCCCCTACCCCGCCCGTGGATCTCCTCGCCCCGGGCGCGCGGAACCGCTCGGAGCTTGCCGCGGAGAAACGCCCTACAGAGGAGGAGAGCGCGGGCGAGGGCGAGGGCGAGCGAGCAAGCACATAGCTTCCCCGGGCCGCAGCGGAGAGGGCGCGGGACGGGCCTCGAAGCGGGCCGGAGCGCTGCGGGCCGGCGGGACCGCTCTCACTGGGCCGCCAAGTGCCAACTTTCCCCGGAGCGAAGGGAGGGCGCACACCGTTAGGGCGCGGGGGCAGTTAGTGGGAATTTGGGATTTTAGGGAAGAAAGTCTGATCCCCTCGTCCCCTGGTCCTTGCTACCATTAAAAAACACCAACAGTAACAACAAACTTGCTCTAATTCCGTCTGCCCCGCTCCTGCTGGCACCATGAAGGCGGCCGTCGATCTCAAACCTACTCTCACCATCATCAAGACGGAGAAAGTCGACTTGGAGCTTTTCCCTTCCCCGGGTGAGTGGTGACTGCGAGGCCCCCGCCCCAGCTCGCGGCCAGAGCCGGGTGCCTTCCACTTTCCGCTTTCGCAGCCCCCTTCCCGGAGGTGGTGCAGGACCGGCAGCTCTGGCAGCTGGAAAGAGGGAGAGACAGGAGGAGGACTGTTGGTGGCCCGGGACCCTTGGTTTTGAGGGCATTTATTTTTACAGCTGTATTTTCGTGGGCAGTGAGAAAAAGCTTATAGAATTTCCAGCAAAACCCATCTGAGGTTTTTTAGTTTCCCTGTTGAGCCAGAAGTCTCTGGCCTCAATCCTTCATATTAAGGGGAGTGGATTCTGCCACAGGGGGCATCACCCCCACCTCTCGGACACAGAGTCTCCAGAATTGGAGCTGGACTGGGGCTCCCGATAGTAAGAGAGAGGCAGTCTGACTGGCTAGCCTTGGAGCAAATTTTCAAATATTGTCTTGCCTCCTCATCACATGTCGCTTTGTTTTGGCTAACTCCTTTCTTCTGGATTGAGGGTGAGGAGATGGAAGGATAACTGAAATTACCCCTTAACTTTCCTGCTGACGCTGTTCATGCGGGTTACTTGCTTTACCCATATTTTCAGTCTGCCATGAACTTGTCCTCTGTTATCAACTGTGTTGGAAGAGAGAAGACACCCCAACACCAAACATGACTTTGAGTCTTTGGCTGTGGTTGTATCTAAACACTTTGATTTGTAAGGACTTGAATAGTAGCGGCATAAAAGAGAAATTTCATTTTGTCTTAGACACAGAGTTTGGTGCTGAACAGCTTAAATGGAGCCCTGCCCTACAGAATTCCTGTAACAATGCAGTTTGAGGGGGAAAGATGCTTTCTTTTAGGATTTGGGAAGTGCCATTGATCCTTAGAGATTAACAATTTCAGAAGTGAGGAGCTATGATGCATTCTGGAAAATAATTAATTCCAGCAACATGCTACCCTGTTGTATCTAATTATCAGTAAGTAGCTGCTGCTCCCTGTCCTTAACACTTCTTTGCCTCTTCTGCCATAATTAGTTGCTTATTTTAACCCTGTTTATTTTATTTTTATTGTTGATAATATACACCACAGAACACATACCAGTTCAACAATTTCTACATGTACAGTTCAGTGGTACTGATTACATTTGTCCAGTTGTACAACCATTCTCACTCTCCTTTTCTGAGTTGTTCCTCCTCTATTAATGTGAACTCACTGCCCCCCCCCCCAGGTCCAATCTACTCTTTCAAGTTGCTGTTGTCAATTTGGTCCCCTATAGATGGATAGTAAAAGAGTGTTATGCTCAAGGCAGACATTCTTTACTAGTTAAACAGAACTGTTGTTTAGTTTTAAGAAGACTTCAGGGGGTATTTTTGGTTTAAGGTTTATTTCAACTCTTTTTTTTTAAATGTATTTTTAAGCCCTTAAACTTTCAACACAAGCCAAGCTGATGTTTTATAATTCAGAGAGCCTTCAGAAATGTTAATTGAGAGGCTTTGGGTATGTCCTCTCCTGGAACCCCTAACTTGAAGTCCCAGTCTTGTGGTGTGTAAAGAAGGCTGAGCTTGTTTCTTGTCTCAGGACTGATGATAGGAGCAATGCTGGCATTAACTAGAACTGAGGAGACATTTTAGTCATTTATTTATAGCTACAATTCAGAAATGATGTCGCTACATGGTTGTGTTTGGGGGTTCAAGGAGGCCAGAAGAAGTTCTTTTTGTCACAACTGATTCAAACCATATAAGAAAAGTTAAAGGATAGTTCCCAGCAAAGATAAACACTCAACTAGTAGGTCCCTTCCTTACAAATGGCTTGTTTATATGTATGTTTATGGGGGGAAGAGGCAGATTTGGTCATCTGGGAAATATTGTGTGGATATGTCAGTTCACACACCTATCATGGATCATGTGCTGATAATGAAAAAGAGCCCATAGCAACATATGTTTTAGATCAAACTAAACAGTTGGATTTCTTTTTCTGTAATTTAAAAGTAAGTGGTAGAAATTTTAAAGTGCATGGTGCTATTATTTCAATTATTGATAAGAATAAACTTTGATCAAGTAACTTGCCTTAGTTTTCCCTTCTGTAAAGTGGGGTCAGTAACACCTAATGCTACATTCAACTTCTTTTGTAATAAGCACTTTTACAATGGCTCTCCAAAAAAGGTTTCCAAACCACAGATTAGGCTTTGTATAGGAGCTCTGGTAGCATAGTGCCTAAGGCACTTGACTGCTAACCAGAAGGCTGGCGGTTCAAACATACCAGCCACTCCTCAGAAGGAAGGTTGGGCAATCCTACTTCTGTAGTGATAGTGCCTCGGAAACCCAAGGAGGGGTCGCTATGAGTTGGGGGCGACTCGACGGCAAATAACAACAACAACAACAACAAGTGACCTTCAATACAACCAAATTTCAGTTGGTAAAAAAAATTAGGCAGTCTTCTGCCATTCATTGTAATGAGATTTGATTACTGGTACTATCTTGGGAAAAACAGAGAAACTGGAAAACACATATAGAATATAATAACTGAATTTTAGTTAATTTCTTTTTGCTAGAAGCTTAGTAGCTTATATGTGAATGCTGTAATCATACTTTAGAGAGGAACACAGAGGCACAGAGAAGGCAAGCAAGTTACCTAAGAATATCCAGTAAACCAATGGCTGAAGTAAGATTTATCCTTGTTTCCAAGTTCTTAGTCTAAGTGTATACTGTCTTGAGTAATATTGCAGTTACTTTTGAAAAGCGTGGCAAAGATACGTCAGTTGAGACTTAGGCTGGCAGGTGCAAAGAAGGAAGAAACATTGGCCAGTACTGCCTGTTTTTTGTTGGTGGTAGGACACTCTTCTGGCTGAGTAGGGATTTGTTTTGCCCATCAAACCATATAGGACATATGTTTAAAGTTTAACTTCTCACAGGATGGTTTTGTGCCCACAGCTGTGACTTAAATATTTGTCACAATGATCTCTTTAGGTTGTTTTGTTTCTTATGTGTGAAGACAACTGGTTTGGGACCTTGTTGTTGTTGTTAAGTGCTGTCGAGTCGGACCCGACTCATAGAGACCCCTCCTTGGGTTTTCGAGGCAGTATCAATATGGAAGTAGATCGCCCCATCTTCCTTCCGAGGAGTGGCTGGTGGGTTTGAACCGCCAGCCTTCTGGTTAGCAGTCAAGTGCCTTAGGCACTATGCTACCAGAGCTCCTAGAGCCAAAGGGAGACAGTGTGGAGGCCCGGTCAGAACATGAATCTAGAGACCTGAGTTACACGTCTGACCTTTATTTACCACCCCATCTAAATTGAGACCTCACAAGATTTTTGTTGGTTTTAAGTACCAAAGTAGCATGTACTGTGAAATAACATTGGAATTGGATTTTCCTTCTAAGTATGAAGTAGGGTATACCATTTTGATTATCACAGTGTGATGAGATTTTCAGATCTTAAATAGGCTAAAGCAATAGTATCTATTGAGTGTTCATCAGTTTCCCTCCTGGCGTGGAGCCTGCTGAGAGGGTCGGAACCTGAGTGCCAAAGCAAATATATATTCCCAAACTGCTTAATCTGCCCTCTCGTTCTCCACTCCACCTTCTGGGTGAGGTAAGCATTAATACCCAGAGAAGAGCCCGTATTCTAACTCTGGATATTTGCTTTTTGTAGAAGAACAAATGTATCAACAGCTCTTCCCTCTTCTCCCCTGTTCTCCTATCCCAGCAAAGAGTGTCAGATTGGCACCCTGTATTGGCCTTAGAGGAGAAAAGACACTTTGTCTCTTTCCCAGCTTGGTTAGTCTTTGTGTCTTCGTCAATAGGAGCGAGAAAGATGGCAGAGACAGCTTGGGGTTCGATGCTTTCTCTGGTCTTGAGCCCAGTCTATTAAGATCACTCACTGTGTTTTCAGATTCCTACAGACCACACTCCATTAGCGGCTGAAGAGCCCATAGTTACCATCAAGGACTGTGGAGCCAGCCTGTCAGGGTTTGAATCCCAGCTGCATCACTTACTAGCTTGTGTGACTTTGGACAAATTACTTACTCACTCTGTGTTCTAATTCCTGCATTGGAAAAAGGAGTGTGGTAGTAGTTCTACCTCATTGGATTGGTATGAGGATTAAATGAAATAATATGTGTAAAATGCTTACAACTGTGCCTGGCCCCTAATAAATTACATTTAACAGTTAACTAGAAAACAGACCAATAAAAAATGACCTAATGTAGAATTTCCAATGATCCTTGCAATGTTTGTTAGGGGAGATGACTATATATGCATCTCCTCTAATCTCTTATTTGTAAAGTAAAGTTTTATTTGTAAAGTTTTATCCGAAAAAGGGAACTTTTTCAGCTGTTTAGCTAAGATTTTATGCCTGAAGCTTCACCCTGTATTTCTGAGAACACATAGTGAGCCATGTAACTAACTGTCATAGTGTCAGAATATCTCAAGTCTTTACTGTCACAGTAAAGGCACAGAAACTGGTCAGTTATTTTTGGTGATGGAGGCTGTCAATGTGGCTTCAGAGCAGGAGGGCCACCAAGACTAGGGGCAAAGGGGACATTTGCAGGGTTGATGGAAAAGTTGAGCTTTTCAATTATGCAGGGTTGAGAAATGCATCATGTCCAGTTATTATGAAGCATCTCACATTTTATTTATTTACTTGGTTGGCAGAACTTGCATTCCTTGAATTTTTGGTTGGTTTGTATTGCTGTTTTTTGTCTGTGTAACTTTTTTTTTTTTTTTTTTTTTCCTTAAAGAGGCCAGACCACCCTGTAGGAGCATCACATCCCTCTAGGAGACAAAGCAACCCGTGGTCAACCTCCAAGAGCCCGGGGTGCTCTGGGCTCCATCAGACCCTCTGCAAAGCTGAGAGCTGGTTAGTGTAGATCAGGACTTTTCTGGAAAGTCTCCCTCATTTCAAAGAGCATAGATACCTCTGCAGTGGTAACAGTGACAGTGTAATTGCAAACACCTGTCTGGTTTGCAGAATGAATAAAGCATGGAGAGTCCCATGACTATGGAGGCATTCCACCAG